AAGGGTGGAAGAGGGGGGGGGGGGGGGGGGGCTCTTAAAGTTGATGGCCACCCCAAATCCTCCTCAAAAAATGGTATAGAGAGATTAAATCTCTGAAATAATAATAGCAGCAATGAAACAAACAGTCATTTCAAAGGGCATAAACCATTTCGTGCATATCCTGTGAATGGGATTCAAGTGATACTTTCCTTCTTTCAGTGGTATTTGGTTGGTCTGTCCTATCATCTCCAAAATATCAGCTGAATTGTCTCCAAGTTGGTCTTTAGTTTGGAAAGTCTGGAAAGTCTTTAAATTCTAATTTTCCATCTCTTTCTGTTGTCTCCTGGTCAGGCGACCAGGCGTAGTTCTCTCCTTCCACTCCGATTGTTTGATCTCTCACCATGCGAGCATTACATTCATAGAGACAGGAGCTCCAGTGGACACAATCCATGTGCAATTGCCTTATTTTAATTACAGGAACTTGTTGCAGCTTCTAATGCACAACTTGAGGAGCTGGAAGTGTGCAGTGAAATCAGAGTAAGCGATTTGAGTGCAGGAGACAAGCCTGTGAAGCTGCAAGACTGAAGGTGAACGCCGCCGACTCAGGCGGTGAGAGATCAGACAATCGGAGTGGAAGGAGAGAACCACGCCTGATCGCCTAACCAGGAGACAACAATATGAGGAGTTGAAGAGCCCATTCGCACCAGGGCGGTTGCAGATCAGCGTGGTTACTGCGCTGAGCTCCCATGGGAGGTTTTGGGAGTTTTTAATTGTGTTTCAGTGCTAAAACGCAATTAAAAACGCCCAAAACCGCGCGGTTCCATTGAAAGCTGTATGAAAAACGCACAGGTCAGCGTGGCAAAAATAGTGCAGGGAGCAGTTCGGGCGGGGGGCGGTTCGGATCGCTCGGACTTGCGCGGTCGCATGAACGGTCCCCATAGCAATGTATGAGATCGTTCATGTCGGCGGATCCGTGGGCCCAAATTCGCACGGCCGAACCGCCCCGGTGTGAATGGGGTCTTAAAGGAGAACTATGAGGTGAGTGCTTTTCACTCACCTCATAGTTCTAGCCGACCTGTGACAATGAGACTGTCACAGGTCGGCTCAGTAGATCGGGAGGTGAGCGAACACATACCGCCGTTCGCTCACCTCTCGATCCTGTCACGGCAGAGAGCCGTGACAGGGGAGGGGCTGGATTCCCCGCTCCGATCCACCAGCGCTGACTGGCCTTAAACATCTGGTAGTATTCATTGGGGAACCCATCTGTACCTGGGGATTTATTTGTCGGTAAGGAATCTATGGTTTTGTCTATTTCCGGCTTAGTACATGGTGCTGATAATGCAGCCACTTCCTCTGTAGTTAGGGTAGGTAGATTAAGTGAGTCTAGGTATGTGGATATTGAGGACAATGTAGGTTGTGTTGTAGATGATCGGAGATAAGGTTGTATACGTATCATAAATTTTTTTAAAGATATTGGAAATTGCTTTGGGATGATAGTCTTTTCCCTCTGTTATCGGATCACATAAGCATTCACTAGATCTAGATCGGCATCTGTGTTGCAGCTTCTTAGCAAGAAACGACCCAGCTTTATTGTGTAGTGTGTAAGATTCAGCCTGCAGTCTTTTCAAAGAGTGTTCGTACTTATGTAGCAACAGCCCCCTAGGTTGCTGCCTATGATCAAGTAATTGAGAGGCCAAACTGTGTGAATTACATTGCTGATTACACTGTTCCATAATCCAAATGTCATTCAACAGTTGATCTAATTGTTGAGATCTTTTCTTTTTAACCCACGCACCTATTTTTATACATTCACCTCTAATGACAGTTTTGTCATTTGTATTCATGGTGAGCCAAGTGAAACGTATTTAGTCTCCACAGACTATTGCCCGAGGCGGGATGACCGTCTGCGACACAGATCGACGCATGGTCCGACCATGATAATACTCCAATCTCCGAAAAGACTTTCAATGCCGGAGAACGTTTATTGGTCAGGAACATGTTGATCCTAGAATATGTATTGTGTACATGAGATAGAAACGAAAGGAATAGCACCTTTCACTGCCATGTTGGCACCTCCAAATGTCAAGCAAGTTGAACTTGTAGAGCAATTTACCAATCACTGTCAACGACCATTTGCTACTACTAGGAGAGTCTAGATCAGCATCATATATAGCGTTGAAATCCCCTCCCATTAGCAATAATACTGATGTATGTTTGGCAACAATTTTCATCAATTTACAAAGAAATCTGGCTTGTTTCACATTGGGGAGGTAGGCATTAACTAATGTGTATGTGGTGTCCCTTATTGTACAATTGACAATGATGTATCTACCACAAGGATCTGTAATAGATTCTGTAAGTTGAAAAGGCACATTGGCATGTATAACTATTAGTACTCCCGTATGGTTTTTTTTTGAGAGTTCGCCACATATATGGAAGAATATTGCTGTAAAGAACATTTAGGAACTTTACTCTGCACAAAGTGTGTCTCTTGTACCGTTACCTTTCAACAAAGCCAATCTCTGAAAGGGCTATTCTAACCTTTGGCATTGATGGAAACTCCTTAATAAACATGAAAACGCAGAAGTGCTGTATCAGTAGCTTCTACCATCAAGAGATGGAGATAACTGGTATCTGAGGAAGTCAGAGGCTGGGGGCATCCAGATGATAAACGCAGAGTTAACCCATTAGCAGCATGACTTTCAAAACTGGCATGAAGTGACAGGCAAGAAAAAATCAAAACAAAAAGTGAAGAAAGAAAAAAATAAAATCCAATTCGTAGAAACACATCAGGTAACAAACTCAATATACATGTGCATCCTGTGCTGTAGACACTGGGGAAGGTAAATAACTTTAACAGCAGCCTGAACAATGTTCCTAGCAAACGTATGAACAGTATGGCTTCATATAGGTTCCTAATGGAAGCCCTTATGAAAAAAAGAAAACACTTATCTGGTGACTGGACTTCATGTCATCTCCTCACAGTTCCTCCTAGGAGATGATTCCTGTTGATCTGAAGTAGCATGAGTAGACAGGCCCCACTCCCGAAAAAAAAGATGGTTACCAGCCTCAAGCAAACTAATAGAATGCCTTTTGCCTCGAAAGGAGATCAAGATTTTAGTCGGGTAACCCCACTTATATGGGATGTTGTGATTCCTGAGAGTGGGGGTGATCGGGGGCATCTTCTCCCGGTTCAATATGGTGTGTTGAGAAAGGTCAGCATAAAGAGTAACACCAGCAAACTGTGGAGGCAGTGAAGCTTTATTAATAATCAGCCCTTGTGGGGACAGTTGTGGCACAAATTCTGCAAGCAGTTGGTGCAAAAAAGATGAAATCTGCTGCAGGGAAACACGGACTCCAGGATCCTACTAAACTTTGTTGTTTTTCCCTATAAAAAAAATCAGGCTCCTGAACAGCCTTTTATCAGAGTGTGTGAACCCGGAGTAGACAGCGATGAGTGACAGAGTGTTTTCATGGAGAGATAGTTTCCACTATATAGCGCTATACACAGAGTTGCTGTATTGTGATATATAAGAGAGAATTGCAGTGGGGCGGGCTGCAAAGTATGTAGCGACCATTCACTGTGCTGTATTGTGCTACATTACTGTGAATTGTATTG